TAATTGGTATCATGTCACTTGCCTTCTAGGTGACTGGGGAAGGGACCTGAGAAAGGGAGTTAATTTGGAACTGAAAGTTAAAAAAAATCAATTTTTTAAAAAATCAATTAAATTTTTTGATTCCTTGCTTCTCCAATTTGGTTATGATGTGATCTTTTACATCTAGGTCATGTATCCATTTGGAGTTTATCATGTATTTAGTGTGAGGCATTGGTCTAAAGATAATTTCTGACAGATTAGTGTTAAGTTTTCCCAGAAGGTTTCATCAAATACTGAGTCATTTTGATTAAAGAACTGATAAATAGAAGTATGTATAGAATTAGATATATATGATATATATGTATATATATATACATGTACACATGTGTGTGTGTATATATATACATATGCCTATTTGTGTCTAACGGTAGCCATCTCTAGAGTGGAGAGGTGGGGAGGGAAGAAAAAAAAATTACATGACAATTTTGTTGAAAGGAATAGCAAGTTGTATATAGTAGATTTATAATTTCATGTACAATCATCTTTTTATTGTACTATGTTTTAGAAATGCTTGTTTTATTCCATAAATTAAAAATAAAATTAAAAAAAAATTTAGAAATGAGTCCTTTCTCCAGTAACTAGAGGCTTTAGGTTTATCAATCACTTTACTACTGTGATTGTTTCTGCTGTATAATAAATATTTGATTTGTTTCACTGACCAACCTCTCAATTGCTTAACCAATACCAAGTTATTTTAATGATTCCTACTTTGTAGTACAGTACTAATAGACCTCCTTCCTTGCCACATTCTTTTCATTATTACCCTTGAGATTGTTGATCTTTTGTTCCTTCATATGAAATTGCTTATTATTTTTCTTGCTCTATACAATATTTTTGGTAATTTGATTGGTTTAGCACTGAATAAATAAATTAATTTAGGTTAATATTGCCCTTTTTATTCTATTGGATCAACCTACCCCTTAGCGATTAATATTTCTCCTTATTTCTGCAAAGAGGGTCTTATACTTGGATTGATAGAGTTCCTGATTGTATCTTGGAAGCTACATTCCTAAATATTTTGTACTTTCTATTCTTATTCTCTTTATTTTTCTTTCTTGTCTTGTTGCAACAGCTAGCTTTTTAAGCACTATATTAATAGAAATGATGATAATGAGCATCCCTAGTTTATACATAATTTACACATAGTTTATACATAATTATATACTATAACACTTTTTTACTATGTATACTTTTTGCTTTTGAATTTAGATGGATATTGTTGACTACATTAAAGAAAAGTCAATTATTAAGCTTTCTAGAGTATTTAATAAAAATGAAAGTTGAATCTTCTCAAAAGCTTTTTGTTGGGGCAGTTAGGTGGCGCAGTGGATACAGCACTGGCCCTGGAGTCAGGAGGATCTGAGTTCAAATCCGGCCTCAGACCAAACATTGACACTTACTAGCTGTGTGACCCTGGGCAAGTCACTTTACCCCAATTGCCAAAAAAAGCTTTTTGTCATTTATTGACACAGTCATATGGCTTTTATTATTTATATTATTAACATGATTTATTATACTTACAGTCTTCCTGATATTGAACTAACCCTACATTCCTGGCATAAACCCAACCTTGTCGTCATAATCTTTTTAATATGTTGCTGTAACTTACCAGTATAATATTTTATTTAAAAATTCCATGTCCATGTTTATTAGGAATATCATTCCATTGTTTTTTCTTCAGATTGTCTTCCCCTAGCTCAGCAATAAATGTTTTTGCAATACATTTTTGTATCATAGAAAGAGACAGGAAAGATGCTTGTTTTTAATATTATGGCAAATAGCACGTATGCTATCACCATGCCTGGAATGTCCTTATCAATTCTGCATGTTTACTTCTCTGGCTTTCTTCAAGCCTCAGTTCAAATTTCACCTTCTACAGATCCCTGCTGTTTCTGATGGGGTGCTTGGGTGCTTGTGTTTGGGTGCTTGTGCTTGTACTTGGACCCCAATTTCTCCCTAGTCTCAGAAACACTGTCTCTGACAACCACTCCCCAGCTCAAGGACACTGTGCCTAGCAATTATTCATGCTGGAGTCCATACTCCAGCAAGTCCCTTATCTCTCTCCCTGGTGCAGCTACACAAAGCTGGGTGAGAGAGTACTGGACTGCTCAGGCCCCAACCCTCAGGTCATGTCTCTGGAAGCCTCCCAACTCCTTAGTAAGTTCCTGTATTGTGAGAAAGCTTTCCCTTGTTGCAGACCATTGTCTAATCAAGACACAGAGTGACGGGTGCTTTGCCCAGTGCAAGGAGTTTTGTCCTTAGCTGGCCCAAGGACTCTTTCTTCTGCCAGACTCCAAAGACCCATACTTCTGTCATCTCCCTCCCTGTCTAGTATACTCCCTATACTTTCCCATCCATAGCTCCCAAAGACACCTGGACCTTTGGATTACCTAATCAGCATCCCCATCATTCATTTCCCATTCCCTTTTCCATATAAACCCTAGCTCCATCCTCAGTCTCT